GTTATTTGGGGGTGGGGGGGAGCAGGTGGACAAAAAAGAAGAAACAAACTTCGAAAGAACTTGTTAATAGCTTCAGATCACAGAACAAAATTTATTTGGAATCCACAGTGGGACAGCCTTCTTGGAGGTACACTCAAGCAGAGGACTATTTCGAAGTCAACAATCAGTATGACTTCAGAGAGAATGTATTCCTTTCTTCTTTGATTCCTGTTCTCCTGTCAGTCTCATACTGGGATGAAAAATTGTTTAGCCCATCAGGATCAAAGTCCAAAGATCCTTACTGAAGCACAATGGAAAAGTCAATTGGCAACTAAGAAAAAATCCTGATTCCCAATATGTTCAATAACTAATATAAAATGAAAAAAAGGAGAGAGAGAGAGAGAGAGAGAGAAGAAGAAGAAGAAGAAGAAGAAGAAGAAGAAGAAGAAGAAGAAGAAGAAGAAGAAGAAAAAGTAAAAGAAGTTGTAAGTTGTTGGCCCAAAGAGATGGAACATTGGGACCCTAAGAGAATTCTCAAGAGATTCCAGTTTCCACACCTCTGAAGTTCTACAGACCTCCAAGCAGACAGTATTATTCCCTCCACATACTGATCTAACATGATATGACCTCAGTAGAAACCAAGGCAACTCACCACTAAACAAGGGTAATGACCTTCCTGATGTTTCCTCCTGGAAATAAAGACCTGGGGAAATGGGGGGGGGAGGGGCAAAAAATACTAGAAAAATAATTTCTTATCTTTCATTGAATTAACATTATGCTAATACCATCTTTCAATTTCAAGACAAGAATGACACAAAAATACATTGTTTCTGCACTGAATATCATAGTATTATTTTAGCATATAAGGAGTCCTAAGGTTTTTAAAAGCCCTGTAATAGTATTCACACTCCCTGTTCACAACCCGTCATATTAACCCAGTGCAGTGGTCCAAGCCAGAGGCCTACTTTGTCTCTTCATCATTCTCCATGCCTGTCCCCCACGAATCCTCTCCACTGTTCTGCACTATCAGAACTCCTGACTTCTCAATAAAATCCCTTTTTCCCACTTTTCTTGGATCACTTCCCTGGACAGACGCCCTTCCCCTTGAACTTCACTCTCACCTCCCTATTCTTGGACACCAATATTGTTCCAGACATGGCCACACTGCCCAGGCCCCTGATCCACCAGAAGAAATCAGCCAGAACCCAGATTTCCAGACTACTAATCACACATCAATCTGCATTAGATTCACTGACTCACTGTCTCTTCAGTAAATGCTCTTATTTAACTTATTGAAAAGGATACTCATGATGGCAAGGCCCCAGAGTGGGAGGGGTACAGAAGAGGCAGAGTTTAACAACTTTATTTCCTTATATTTGATATTTCAATTAACCTAATACAGTACTAAACTTATTTTAGTTTTTAATTAAAAACTATATAATCATTCACCATTTCATGGTTATCTGAGATTTTACACTGACTATAATGATTGCAAAGAGTTAATAAGCAACAAATGTCCTTGCATAATAGAAATCAGTTTTCTAAATAGGCATAAAATGAGAAGAGAGGCCATGTGCATTAGACTCTGTAGTGATATAAATACATTCTTGATTTTGGAGGAAATGGCATTTTGAAACAATGGCTCTTTATTTCACTTTGGATGCTCTGATATTTCATATAGATTTGATCCCCTCCCCCCAAAAAATGAAGACTTAAAACTATAAATTAAATTATTAAAAAACACAACTAATCCCAAAATTATCTATAGCATACAGACCTGGCTGACTTGCTATGTATATCTTCTTATATTACTAGGGTGTTACACAAATGGATTTGGGGACCTGGAACTTTGAAATTAAAATATATTTAAATATATTTTACTTATTCTGTAAGTAAATATATAATTGATGGGAGGTCCTCTTATTTATTATAGTTTCTAATGTACTTAGAGGGATAAATGAATGAATAGCTTTTCCTTAAATTATAAAAAATAAGAATCTTTAATTTATTAATTAAAAAAAATGAAAGATTACTTCAGAGAACTTAGTAGGAGATTTTTTGCTCCATGCCATTAGAATTAATACTCTGCTTATTTTGGTGACAAGAGTGCAGGAGAATAAGCAGAGAGCAACAAAACTCAAGGGAGCCCATTAAACCACAAGAAAGAGGATATTTTGAATAACCTAAGTTCAAAGTGATTTAAAGTGAATATTCCCAGGTAACACAAGTTAGCAGAAGTTGCTCCAAGGACTAGTAAATATAAATACTTAGACACCAATTTCTTCAATTTGTGTTTATAGTATAAATAAAGATTCAAATAACTGCCTCATGTATTGATGTATTTTTCTATGAGTGGAATACTTGAGAATTAGAATTTTCTTTTTCTATAGAAACAACTTTATATTAGAGACACAATAAATTAATTTTCAGAGTTTCTCTTAATGTGGGGTGTTTGTTATTATTTTATAACAAGTTTACTTATTATATTACTGTATTATGAATGCTTAGTTACCATTTGATAGGAAACAGTTACTTTTCTGATCAGTTACAATCTCTCTCCCACCCACTCCTTGCTACCAGTGTTTAGTCTTTTTATTTCCATCCAGAGAACAAAAAATTGAGGTCCCATGAATATATTTTTATTTTAGTTTCATGACTTTTTATGTATATGATGCTTCCTGCCAAATAGTTGGGTCATTAGAATTATAGATCTGGCCTGTAACACTGTGTGTTGTCCTTTAGTTGACCGTCTGCACCAATGAAAGGCACCCTTGTTAAGACGTGCCCCTTGGGTCCTGTGGTTGACGTTTGACTCCAGAGGATTTCCAAGGGTGAAGCTGTTATACTGCTCCAGCTACTGTATTCACCCTATTGAGTCATATTTTGGCCAAAAGCCTAATAGAAGGCACAGTCAATACTGAATTCAGATGAATTTATTTTTCAATATTTTTTAAAAGACACTTTTATAACAAGGACCCAGTGGCAATTAATAGCAATGTAATTGACAGTTATACTATCAAATAACATAGCACGTGTCATCTGTTTCAAATAATGGATTAAAAGCAAAATTATTCTTATGTAAAGTGAATTTCTTTTGACCTTTCATTGATTTTAACCTAAATTCATATACATATTCTGTTGGCAAAAATTTGGCCTCTGTATGTAATGGTAGTTATAACTAAGACTATGGTGACTCATAAAATCAAACATTTAAAAGAAAAATAATGTTCTTCTGAGAAAACATAACCAAGTCTTCAAAATATTCAAAATTATAATAATGTAACAAACAAAAACTTTTTTTTTTTTTTAGGACCAGGGATTGAACTCAGGGGCACTCGACCACTGAGCCACATTCCTAGCCCTATTTTGTAGTTTATTTTAGAGACAGAGTCTCACTGAGTTGTTTAGTGCCTTTCAGTTGCTGAGGCTGGCTTTGAACTCATAATTCTCCTGTCTCAGCCTCCCAATCTGCTAGGATTACAGGCATGTGCCACTACACCCCGCTAAACAAAAACATTTTAAAGCAAAAATAAATAAAATTGTAGTATCTTGGGCTGGGATCTGGGATTGTGGCTCAGTGGTAGAGTGCTTGCCTAGCACATGTGAGGCATTGGGTTTGATCCTCAGCAGCATATAAAAATGAAATAAAGATATTGTGTCCACCTACAACTAAACAATAAATATTTTAAAAAATTGTAGTATATAAAGAGAAACTCTGAAAGTATATCTGTACCTCATATATTGCTCCTTAAAAAGAAAGCAAGTTCTAATTGTCAAATGTTCCACAAATCTCAAAATAACTTCACACTTCAGGCAACTATTTAAATTTTTATTTGCACTTGAACACAAATTGAAGAAACTGGTCTCTAAACTTTTGCATTTAATAGTCTTTGTAGTAACAGCAGCTAATTTGCTGTGTTAACTTGGAATTCACTTTAACTCTCTGGTTTGCTTCCTCATTTATGAAATTGGAAGGAAGAAGAGACATACTTCAGTGTTTTTCACTTCAAGTTTCCTTGAGATGCTTAGAGACAGAAAAAAAAAAAAGAATTTAATTTTGTTTTCCCTTATGTATTAAGGTCCCACACAGGGACATCATGACAGAAGGCTTGGAGGGACTTTAGCTGAGTCCCAAAACATCATCTCAAATATACACATGACCTAAATAAAAGTAGTGTGCAGGCTAGAAACACACCTCAAGGTAAATCCCTAGCTACAACATACCTCCATATAGCTTGCTGACCCCAAATCTCTTCCATATAGAAATTCTCAAAGCACAACGGTGATCCACCTATTATTTCATTTATTAAGGTTTTTCATTTGCTTTTGTGCTCAATTTTTTTTAAAAAAATGAGTCATGTAATCAAATGAGCATGGGTTTCATATTTAGGTCAGTTGGAAATCAAATCCCCAATCTGCTCACTATGAAAATCTGGTCAGGTTCTTTAGAGCTTTGTTTTCCCTATTTTAAAATGGATAATACTGATAACACCCACCTCACAAACAAAATACTGCACATAACTCAGGTGGTAAAAAGTGATTGGCTTTCATCAGGTCATGAAATTTCGGAGATCTCCCATTTTGACTGGCATCTCTAAGAATTTTGGTAACTCCTGTGGCTTGTATCACACACCGGCTTCCTGGCCCATTATGGGTCTGTATTTTTCAAATACTACCTCTATTTCACTCCATTTGAAAATCTGTCTCTGTGTTTCACTTTTCATAAGCATTTATAAGTAAACATGATTACACAAGGTTGTTCATGTATTTCTCTCTCTTCCTGGCTTTCTCTCCACCTCTTTCTGTGTCTTTCTATGCCTCTCCCCAGGACTGGTCTGGGAGCTCTAAATCCTTCTCCCTCTATTATGAAGAACAATTTCTCTTGATATAAAACCTGGGTCATAGCCATCCTTCAGATACTGATGGTAGGGAGTTCACTTTCTAATCCACACACTGTTCATGTAGTATTTTCAAAAGCTATAGAAAACATAATTCTAGACATTTCTAGGCATTTTTTATTATCTCCCCAAAATCTCTTCCATCAATCCCTCATTATTGAGTAGGCATAAGTTTTTGATAAATCTTCTTACTCGAAGTGTGGTTCATGGGACAGCAACTGTTAACATCACCTGGAAATTTATTAAAAAAAAACAAAATCTCAGATCCTGTTCCAGGCTAATGAGTTGGAGCCATTGGCAATCCCATTTCTTTTGACACATGATATTTAAGTCTTTTCAAAACTCAAACCTAAGCAGATCAGACCCATAAATTTCTAGTCTCAAGAATCAGTTTAGGATGTAACAAATCATAAGATTATCAATCAGTGATTCTTAGGATTCCCGTGGTTTGTGTTTACCAGCAGAGGCCCTTCCCCCACCCCCCCCCCACACACACACCATTCCTCAAATATGTTTAAGAATCATGGAATTCTGGTTATTCTATAAAGTCATCCTGTAATGATCAAAGAATAAGCTTGAGGACAAATCTACAGGCCAAATATCTGTATTGTTTTATCTGAAATGCTTGGGACCTGAAGAGTTTCAGAGTTTGGATTTTTTTTTTTTCAGATTTTGCAATATTTGCATGGACTTCAGCCACTGAACATCCCTGATCTGAAATCCAAAATGCTCCAAAATCCCAAATTTTTGAATGCTGACAACAATAATAAAAAACTGAACAAGTTGCTGTTAAGATTTTCAAATTAGGGGAAGCTCAGACTATATAAAGTAGGTTCAGTGAGCCTCAGAGGTATGAAACTAGAACAGTGATACACTGTTCTCCAAAGCTCATCCTTCTTTTTCAACAACATAAGCAAACAAATTTCATTCATTTTTTTAGTGGAGAAAACATTAGCCTACAGACCAAACCTAACTCATAGTAGTCAAGTTAAAGAACACTTTTTACATTTTAAAAAAGGTAAAGGAAGACATGACAGGATTCTGGGAAGACAATAGAGTAGAAAAAAATTGGACATCTTTCTCTCTATCTAGAAAAAAGTGCACTGGCAGAATCCATCCAATTAGATAGTTGTAGAACTCTGGAATTTATTGAAGGCTTGAAACTTCCAGGAGAAGGCTTGAAAGATAAATCATGGTTAAATGTGGTCAATTTCAGCTCTTAGTACAGTAGCAGCTACCTATTACCCAACCCTAATCCCACAGCAGGCAGCAGAGTACCTGAAGCAACCTGTACATGCCATGCAGGAGCCAGAGTGAACAAAAATCATACTGTCCTCCAAACATGAGAAATCTGTGCTCTGATCACTGATTGATTCTCTTATCACAGAGGTACAAAGAAAGAGGCAGGTAGCTATTATTACACCTCCCCTAGTCTCTGCAAGATCTTTCTCTAGCTTATGTGACCTCCAGGAAATTTAAGGGTCCAGCCTCCTTTCCTCCGTTTTTTCATTCCTTCCCACTTGAGAACCAGACATTAAGGACTTGGACATTCAAAATCACTGAAACACAGGGAAAACTAGAAAGTGATCATGCATACCCAGGAAAAGTTGAACACTCGGAAAAGACCTGAGGAGGCCTTACATTTATATCTCAGGCTGATTCCTGAAAACGAGCTATTCTCTAAGAATTGAACAAAAATAATGAATGAAATTGATAATGATAAACATCATAATCCAGGGAAAGGGAAAATCTGATTTATAGTTACCACATTATTAGATTCAAATGTCCATTTTTTTAAAATCACAAATGCATACAAAGAAATAGTCAAGTACGGCTCTTTCAAAGGAAAATATAAATCAACAGAAAATATCCCAGAAAAAGACTTTATGGCAGATCTCCTAGAATAAGACTTTTAATGCTGTCTTAATAATGCTCAGAAGATATGAAAAAGTCAAGAGAGTGAATAGGAATAAATAGAAAAATCAATATAGAGATAGAAAACCTAAAAAATACTCTAAAAGAAATGTGGAACTGATAAGTACAATAACTGAAATGAAAATTCCACTAGAGGGATTGAAAAACAAATTTGAGTCAGTAGAAGAATCGGTGAACATAAAGATAGAACAATAAGAATTATCAAGCCTAAAAAATAGAAAGAAAAAAGGTTGAAGAAAAGTGAGAGCCTAAGGAACTTGCAAATATTGAGTGGACTAACTTATAAAGTGAAAATACAAAAAGAAGAGATAGAGAAAAGGACAGGAAAATATTTGGAAACTAATGACTGAAAACTTCATTAATTTGATGAAAGACATGAAGATGAATATAAACATCCATGAAACTCAACCAACTCTTAATAAAATAAACTTAAATAGACATGCAACAAGAAACATTGTAATCAAATTTTCAAAAGACAAGAACAAAGATAGAATATTTAAAGCAGCTAGACAAGAGTCTTACCATATGCATGGGATCCTCAATAGAATGGTCACTCAATTTCTTGTCAGAAATTTCTCATCAGAAATCAGATGGCATGAGCAAACATTTCAAAGTTCTAAAAGACAAGGGGGGGAAAAGCTTTCAATCAAAAATCCTATGACAAACTATCCTTCAGAGGTGATAAAGAAATTTAGACATTCCCAGCTAAAGAAAAGCTGAAGGAGTTTATTACTGCTAGATCTACTCAACAAGAAATACTTATGAAATTCCTGTAGAGTGAAAAGATTTTAAAAGTTAGTACAAAGCTACAGTCATCGAAACAGTATGGTACTGATATAAAGACAGACATATAGACCAATGGAATTGAACAAAGAGCCTAGAATTAAAATTTCACATGTAGAATCAAATGTATTTTGACAAGAATGCCAAGAGGAAGGAACAGTTTGCAATAAAATGTGCGGGGAGAATTGGATATCTATATGCAAAAGAATGAAGTTGGACCCTTATCTATTGCCAAATTCACTTTTGCTTAACTAACCAAACTAATTCAAAATGCATCAAAGAACTGAATGTAAGATCTAGAGCCAAAACCTCTTAGAAGAAAATAAAAGACAAAAGCTTAACAGCATTGGACTTGGTAGTCATTTTTTTTGGATATGACACCAAAGGCACAGGCAATGTAGGAAGAACAGTCAAATTGGACTCCATGAAAAAGTGAAAAGTTTGTGTGTCAAAAGACAGTATCAGGGCAGGGGATACAGCTCACTTGGTAAAGTGCTTGCCTCACATGCACAAGATCCTGGGTTCAAACCCCAGCACCACCAAACAAACAAACAAACAAAAAGTATCAACCAAGTAAAAGGGTAACCCATTGAATCAAAGAAAATATTTGCAAATTCTACATCTGATCAAATATTAACAGAATATATAAGGAGTATGTAAAGCAAACAAAAAAAAACAACTTAAAAGTGGTCAAAGTACTTAGACATTTCTTCAAATATATATAACTTACCAAAAAGCACATTCCAATCCACACCAGTTGGGATGTCTACTATCAAGAAAGAGGGAGAGAGAAGGAGAAGGAAAGAAAAAAAGAGCAAGTGTGAGAAATTTGAACTCTTATGCATTGTTCTTGGGAACACAATATGGTATGGGAACTATAGAACACAATATGGCAGTTTCTGAGAAAAAAATCAATAATGGAATTACCGTATGACCCAGTAATTCTACTTCTGGGTATATAATAGGAAAAGATCCTAAAAGTAGGGCTTCAAGGTGATATTTGTATACACATATTCATAACAGTATTATTCACAATAGCTAAACCATGGAAGCAACTCACATATCTACTGCCAGATGAATGGATAAGATGGATAAACACACTGAGGTATATATACACAATGGAATATTATTCAAACTTAAAAGGGAAGGAAGTTCTGACTCATAACTAAAAGTTAGATGAGCTTTAAGGACATTATGCTAAGTAAGCCATTCACAAAAAAAATACACTTACATGAGGTACTTAAAATATTCAAAATCATAGAAATACAGAAAATACAGAAAGCAGAATGGTCTTTTTCAAAGTCTAGGGCATGGGGGAAATTGAGAGTTTTGTTTAATAGGTATAGAGTTTCAGTTATGCATGATGAAAAGAGTTACGTAGATGGACATTGGTGGTGGTTGTACAACATTTTGAGTGTATTTAATATTACAAAACTGTACACTTAAAGTTAGTTAAGATGGTAAAAATTTTTATGTGAATTTTACCGCAATTTAAAACTGTGTGGGGGGGGTGGCATAGGAGGACAAGAAGAGGTGGATGAGGAGTAGGAGGGGGAGGTAGAATAGGGGGAGGACTAAGAAGGAGGAGGAGGGGGAAGAGGTAGAAAAGCAAGAGGGGAGGGGGTATGGGTTCAGAAAAGATGGTGGAATGTGATGGACATCATTACCCTAGGTACATGCATGACTGACTGCACATAGGGTGCAACACTCCATCATGTCCAATCAGGTAAATGAAAAATTGTGCTGCATTGTGTACAACAAATCATTCTGCTGTCATATATACCTAATTAAAATAAATAAATAAAATTTAAAAAGAAAGCAATAGAAAAGCAAAGAAATGATTGGCCCACAAAGCCTAAAACATTTACTATCTAGCCCTTTACCAATAAAGTTCACTGGTCTCTAAGCCAATCAAAGCAGATGTGGAGAACGAATCATTCTTTGCTTCTTTGTGCACGCTAGTGTCCTGGCACTTAACAATCAAGATTAGTTCTTATCACCTTTCCCTTGCTAGATCTTCTTTCTCTAAGATTGTGTGATACTACATATAAAACAAATGAATCAGATATGCTAGCATTATTTAAAATTATGCTCATCAGGAGGTTGTGTTGTACTGGGTAAGGGTTAAGAGCACTAGTTCTAAAACTTCATTATGTGGGACTCAATCCTGGTCCACCAGTCACTAACTGTGAGACTGTGGGCAAGTCTCTTTAGGGCTAATCTTCCTTATCTGAGATGGGAATAATATTAACCGTACTTACTTTATTGGGTTGGCATGACAGTTAAAGGTAAAATGCTTCAAAGAGTGCTTAACTTGATAAGGAAAATTAATAAGGATTATCTTATTATATATCTCTTTTAAAATCTTCTAAAATGTCCAATATCAATCAAGATTCATCCTAATGTGTGTGTGTGTGTGTGTGTGTGTGTGTATTTTTTCAAAAGTTCACAACTGTGAGGAATAAAAAGCAGACTGTTCCCAACTACAAACATTCTTTAACTGATCCCTGATCTCATTTGGTGCTTTCAGCACATGGTTCTTGGATAGTAATAGTTTGGGGGTTGTTTGTTGCCCACTAGTTCTCAAAGCATGGGCACAGGAAAAGGAACAAGAAAGAAGGCTGAAAATATACCTGAAGAACTTGCTATTCTGATTTCTCCTTTGTTGGTTTAAATGCTAATCTATCACTTCTGAGAAGAAATATCCCCTAGAGCATTCCTATTGACCTTTCTTAACTTCCTCTCTTTTCTTTCCTTTCGACTTTATTTTTAGAAGGATATCAAACAGGAAATTCCAACTCTACTAAGAAATGGTGAATTTTCTATCTAGAGATCAGAGGGTGTAGCACATTGGGAAATCAATAAAGGAGACAGGACCAAATGAGGGATGGATAAATACTGGTGACAGAAGAGGCCATTTTGTTTCTTTCTTTCCCCTACTAGAGATGAACACAGTAGCTTTGATTAATGCTAAATATACAACTTTTAAGAAACTGAGCCGTTAATTTAAGGAAAAATTCAAATCAAACACTGGCAAGACCTACAGAATAGATTCAGCCACAGGACTGTTCTAATGCCCCAACACCGGATGGAGGAGGGTGTGTAGGGTACTGAGAGACATAACAATGATTTGCCACTTACTGCTAAGTGTTGCCAAATGTGCTTTAAGTACCTCATGTACTGGAAATACACTGCAAATTACCTTCCTTATCTTGTGAATAGGAACTGGAGCTTTTTTCTTTCTTTCCTGTTTGTATTATCGATCACTGCATATTCAAATCCACCTCTTCTGCGCTGAAAGAAATTGATGTAGAGGAAGTACTTTACAATACTTTTTACCTTTTGGATTTGAAAAGTTATGTCATACAGTGTGACCTTTCTTATGAGTTTCTTAGCCTGATTATAATTTCAACTACTTAAGCCAGGACATAGCAAATTTTGTACAGCTACTGACATATTTGCAAATTATTTTAAGATTTTTCAGAGTAATTATAGATCAAAGAATCAACTGGGGACTTAATTCTATGGATCAGTATTACTAAGGCTCTCTAGTATGGTTTCTGCAGTGTAGATCTAGAAGTGGACTTTCAAACTGAAAGATCAATATCTTTGTTGAATTTACATATAACAAGGTACAAAATGTTATGCATTACCAAACTGGCAAGCTCATACAACGAATCCAGAAATTGGTCTGCTGATCATAAAATTCTTTTTCACAAGGAATTTTATGTAATTAGCAAGTGATATAACACTATGAAAGCTTAAAGTTTTACTATTGCAAATCATCAAAAATTAAGGTAGATTTTTAGTTTATTCTCTTTACTATGTTTAACTGGTTGGGGCCAAATACCTGTTTGTAGTAAAAAAAAATTTAAATGGTAAAAATATCTATATGATTCCCTTCTTCCCTCGATACAATCATAGAGAAAACTATTATGATAGTTTATAGCATCCTGTCCAAAATTTTCAGTACAATAGAGGGACATTTATTCTTTATTTGTAAACACAAATGGAAGCATTTTATGTACTATGGTTTTTCTTTTCATGTTTCTGAAATAATTATCCCTGATCCTAGTAGCTATACAATCTTTTTTTAAAAATTTTTTTAGTTGTTGATGGGCTTTTATGTTTATTTATTTATGTGTGGTGCTAAGGATCAACCCCAGTGTCTCACACATGCTAGACAAGCACTCTACTAACCTTTTTAACATACTGACCAAATCCTAAAACTTGTACACCCTAATACAAGCACAAGTGATAGTTATATTCAGTCACATTTCTCAGTGTATCTTCTATATCAATATATGTTAAGTAAAAGAACAGTTGGTCAGATGCAGGAGAAGCACACTCACCATGATTCAATAAAGGCTTATGCAGTGCACCACATTTCACAAAATAATTTAAGCAATATTTCTTATGGAGAATCATTCTTTGGAATCACTTTTCCATAAATCACACTTCAAGAATTGGTGAGCTACAGCATCTAGTTTAGTTATCCTGACAACCCTGTCAGAAAGATTGTGTTATGTCATTTTACACACTAAGGAAGTTGAGACTCAGAAATTTAAGTGACTTTCCTAAAGTCACCAGCTGATAAGTGACAGAATCAGCATCCATCCCCATATATATCCCCTTCTCCCTACACCACACAGAGCTCATCATCCTTTTAGCATCACTAGGCACTAATGATATTAAATAAAGGTTCCATGTCTCTAACTGAAGAGTCTGAATTTAAACATATTTTGACAGTGTGGGACTGTTGTCAGAAGGGCCATATCACACTACATACAAATGTGCAACAGGATTTCAGCCAAGGAAGAAATGATTGTGGTCTGAGAAGTCTAGGAAAGGCTGATCTGTGTGACTTAGAGCATGTTACTTGTGCCTCTTTGCACTTAGTTTACACAATACCTTTTTGGTAGCATTTCTAAGCAGAAAAAATGGAAGGCCAATCGCACAAAACCAGACCTCTAGATTTCATTCCAATTTCCAAATATTTTAAATCACTATCAAGTCTTGTAATTTTTGCTCCTAGGTTAGAAAATCTAAATGATGTTAAAACTAGTCATAGAAACAAATATCATCAGCCTCAAATGATGAGTAACTTAGAAATTGCTGAGTTACAGCATCTAGTTGAATCATCCCAACAACCCTGCCAGGCATGAGGACAGTAAGTGGCATGAAGGAATCATAAGGAAGACTGATTTCACCCTTCTCCCACTGAGTTAAGGCTAAAGGTTGAAAGTGGATATGAGGAGACAGGTAAGTGTTCAGTTGAGAGGGCAATAGAATAAAGGGTATTTTTATTCTCCCACAGTTTCAGTATCAGAATTCACATGTAAGAAAGTTTTATCTAAACATCTGCATCCCCAGGCCTAGAGAAAAACAAAGTCCTCGGACATTTGCTTTAAGCTGAACCCTAAATTGCTCACAACTTGACTTACTTCTTCATAATTCCCAGTTTTCTAAATAATTTTCTTCACAATTCCTGTTCATTGTGTTGGTTATCTATGACTTCTTGGCTTTGACAGACATAATACCATTTCTTGTACTAGAAGGCCTCTTGCTCCCAGTAAGATATGTCTCCTTTTAGCGAATTCCAATAGGAATACTGGACTGATTGCCCACCCACTCTTGCTTCCTCTCCATCTAGGCACCTTAAATGAAGGGGGAAAGTAGTAGCTCATAAAGTTTTGAATTATCAAGTTAATTATCTGATCTTGATATTTCAGTCAAATTCTTATAACACCTGAGAAATATTTTTAAATAGCCACTACCTATTTTGGTGATTGTATTAAGCACCTTTTATGCACCTGATTATATTTTTTTTTCTTTCTGCTTCTCCTCTCTTTCCAACCACTTCTGCGGCAACCAGTTCTAGGTAGGATTCAACCATTTTTGTACAGATCAATCTGATCTGGATCAATCCAAACCTCTGTTAAACAATAAGGTAGGGGAGCTGGTGCTTCGATTCCCCCTCCTCTTTGATGGCTCTGATACATATTTCATATGATTTCTCAGGATTGAAAAACCTCTTGCCCATTGGCATGACTGATTCAATAATCCTTTCATGACAGATTCAATAACCCTTTCTCAAACTTCCTCTCTCCCTTTTCCTCTTTTTCTGGTCTCTAAGATTATGTTCCCAAATAAACTGCTGTCACATAGGGACCTTGGTCTCAAGCTCTGCTTTTTTTTTAGATAGACACAATACCTTTATTTTATTTACTTATTTTTTTATGTGGTGCTGAGGATCGAACCCAATGCCTGACGTATGCAAGGCAAGTGCTCTACCACTGAGCTACAACCCCAGGCCCAGGCTCTACTTTTGAGGGCAACCTGGTGTATTGATCCAGGTCTGGTCAGCAAACAGAAACCACATGAGTAATTTGGATGAAAAAAAAAAGTCATATAAAGAATTATTAACTTATAACAGAGAATTAACTACAAAGAGCAAGAGAAGTTTAAAAAACAAAGGCAGAGCATGTAAAGATGCAGCTATTACATCTAGAGCTAAGATGAACCCAAAGAGGGGTTGAATTTAGAAGGGGGCTTTCCTCCAACGCTGAGTCAGACCTCATCAAAGAGGGTATGACTGTGGGCACCAGGCAGCCGAGAATCTGGCTGGAAACTACCTGTGAGGGGACCCAAAAACCCACCTCTAAAATGTCAGTAAGACTTTGGGAAGCTGCCCACTGGGGCATCTAACAAGACTTGCTGGGAAACCACTAGCTAGGGTATTGCCAAAAATCTCCCAAGAAACTGACCTAGAACACCGGGGAAGCTCTCTGGGGAACCACCCCCACTGTAGGCACCCTTTGCAAATCTTCCTGGAATACAGACTTACTTGGGTGCTGGTGAAATTAGCAGAATAACAAGCATCATGGGTTGCTGGTTCACATCCCGCAGAAGCAAGAAGAAGCAAACACACTGGAAAGACCAAGAGAAACTCCTTTTTCCTGCAGCGCCCTTTCAGCTTAACTTGAGTCAGCTGGCTCAAAAGAAAAATTCCATGGTTGCAACTACAGTAGTACAAAGCAGGGCAACGAAGGGCAGACTGGGAATAGAGAGGCAGCAGGTTGATAACCAGCACTCAAGGCTGAGCAGCATTCTGCCAAAACTGAGCAAAACATGTTATCTCTGCCAAACAGATAGTGGTCAGACAACAGAGATCAACATGGGCAGCAAGATCCCTACTCTAGCATCTGCCCAAATCATGTTCCTACATATGCTAGTTCTTTCTTTTTATCTGCCTGGGTTTCATCTCAAGTATCTACCTTACCTATCAGCTCCTCATATCCATGACTGTGTATGGATATGCTCCTGTGGCTCATCCCTGGCCTGCAAGACCCACATGAGCCATGCCAATTGACTTCTTCACCAGGGAAAGACATTTAACACCTCCCTTCATCTCACACTTTCATTCAGAAGTAGCTATTGCGTATAAGTCACTAACAAAATCCTCTGAGTCCAGAATGAGTTGGTGATCTTATATCAGCTCCATTTTCATTCAATAAAGCCATAATAATAATTGATAATAATAGTAACTTTGGAATGATTACCTGTATTAATCAAAATATTACCAGTCCTTTATTGTTTTAGAGTCAGACTAATCAACACTCAAATTTTGGCTCTGCCATTTTCTAATTGTGTGGGCTTAATAAAAATTTTTCAGACGTTTTCAACCTCATTTTCCTCTGAGTAATGGAGGTAAGGTTTGTTTTATGAAGTTATTTTGAGAATAACAACAGAAAAGAAACTAACACATTTGTTCAGCAAATAAATATTTGTTGAGCACCTACTATGTGCCAGAAATTTTCTTAAGCATCAAAAAAAAAAAAAAAAGGAAATGAATGTAAGAATCTGGCTCATGGCAAGAGATTAATATAAAAGTCTTACTCACCTGTTTTATTTTTTATGGTTTTCATAATAAGTTAGCAACAAATTTAGTTATCATCATTACTGTTTTTGTGTTTCTTTGTTTTATAGAAAACACAAGAGAAAAATCTTATAGATTACATTCATACACTAGCATTGTTAGGCTTGCTCCTATGAGGATAGCAAAATGGCTTTTCTTTTTATAATGAAGTTTCAAGTATTTGTTATGGATACGAAACAGAAAAGAATCTCAGAAGTGCTACTGTGTGTGTTCAAGATGATTCTTAGTGGGCATATATGCTCCATATTGCTTCTGTTGTGATTAATAGTACACATGTCAACCACCTTTGACGTTCTTAGTATTTCAAAGATTTTTGTAAGCATGAAACATTTAACACGTCACATATGGTGACA